TTGATGAAAAACATTAATTTACGCATCCAGAAAGCTCAAGGAACTCCAAATAGGATAAATGCAGAGAGCCACACCCTGACTAATCCTAAGAAAAATGATGAAAGCCACAGATATGATGAAAAACATTAATTTACGCATCCAGAAAGCTCAAGGAACTCCAAATAGGATAAATGCAAAGAGAGCCACACCCTGACTAATCCTAAGAAAAATGATGAAAGCCACAGATGAGAAAATCTTGAAAGCAGTTAAAAGTAACTTACTATATATAAAAGAAATCCAATAGAATTAAGAGGTGACTTCTCATCAGACACAACGGAGGCCAGAAAGCAGTGGGATGACATAGGCAAAGTGCTGAAAGTAAAAAACCGTCTAACAAGAATCTTACATCCAGGGCTGGCTGCTTAGCTCACTTGGTTAGAGCATGGGTGCTGGGGCTGATAACACCAAGGTCAACAGTTTGGATTCCTGTACAGGCCAGCCACCAAAGAAAAATAATAATAAATAATAAAAAAATTAAAAGAATCTTATATCCAGCAAAACTTTATTTCAAAACTTAAGACAAAACAGAAACTCCCAGATAACAAAACCTGAGAGAATTTGTTGCTAGCACACCTGCCTAATAAGGAATACTTCAGGAAGTTCTTTAAGCTGAAAGCAAATGATACCAGAGGGTAATATGAATTTACGTGAAAAACAGTGTCAGTAAAGATAATTACTAGGTAGTTATAAAAGACAATATAATTACATATTTACTTATCCTTCCTTCTCTTACCTGATTTAAAAAATAATTGTATAAAACAATATGTATATTACTGTATTGTTGGGACAATATAGAAATGTAATAGATTTGACAATGAGCACAAAAGAGATGGGTGGAGAAAAGCTGTATTAGAGTAAGGGAAAGATACCAGATGGTAATTTGAATCCACAGGAAGAAATGAAGAGAATCAGAAATGGTAAATGGGAAGGTCAATATAACAAACTCTTTAAATGTATACTTGCTTTCCCTTCTTTTCTCAGCTACTTTAAAAGACATAAGATTATATGAAGTAATACAGCGATGTATTGTTGGGTTTGTAACATACATAGATAAACCATGTATAACAATAAGCATAAAAAAGGGAGGGGGAAAATGGAGTTATACAGAAGTTTCTGTATTTCTTTAGACTTAAGTTAGAATAAATCTGAAATAAACTTTGATAAGATGTATACTGTAAAGCCTACAGAAACCACTAAGAAAATAACTAAAAAAATATAACCAAAGATCACTAAAAGAATCTAAACGTTATGCTAGAAAATATACACTTAATGTAAAAGAAGGTAGTAAAGGAGAAAGACCACCACCATCACCACCCAGAAGACTTATGGAAAACAAAAGTATAATAGTAGAGACTGCGAGGTCGGATTAAAAACAAAAAAAACATGATCCAACTATGTGCTGTCTACATGAAACACATTTAGATTCAAAGTCACAAAGACAGAAAGTGACAGGATAGAAAACATACCATGCAAACTGTAACCAAAATAGAGCTAGAATGGTTATACTAACATATACTAATACTATAGGCAAAATAGACTTTAAGACAAAAATTACTAAAGACAGAGAATGACATTTATTTATTTATTTATTTATTTATTTATTTATTTATTTATTTTTGGTCCTTTTTGAGACCGGCCGCACCGTGCTCAGCCAGTGAGCGCTGTGAGCGAACCAGTCATCCCTATATAGGATCCAAACCCACGGCGGGAACGCTGCTGCGCTCCCAGCACCGCACTCTCCCAAGTGTGCCACGGGCTCGGCCCAAGAGAATGACATTTTATAATAAGTCAATCAATCAGAAAAACATAACTATTAAGAATGTATATACACCTAACAACAGAGCCCCAAAACACATGAAGCAAAAACTGACAGAATTGAGGGGACAAATAGATAATTCAATAATAATAGTTAGAGGCTGATGACAGAAACAAAGCAAGTTTCTAAAAGAAACCTTGCCTTGGGCTGAGTCTCATGATCTCAGTGTAGACATCTTGTTCCATAGGTAAAAATAGTATATAGTTTAGGTTGTGATTCAGTAACTCATGTATAACTTGCTGGCAAACAAACGTCAAAAAGACTGAAGAATGCAGTAGAAAATGCACACAGACATTTTTAGCTTTATGATGTAACTTGTTATTGATGAATATAACTTCTCTATTTTTACCCAATGAAAATGGGACAACTTTGGAATGAGGCATCCCCCTCCCTAGGTACTTTCCTATAAAATCCTGTCAGCTTGTAATAGACTTAGGAGCACTTTCCAGCCCTGTTGGTTTGTGTTTCCCAGGTTGATCCCCATCCTCATGTTTGTTTGGCTCCTAATAAACTTCCCTAAAATTCTTCATTTCTTTTTTTGGGCAACTGGCTGGTATGGGGATCCAAACTCTTTTAACCAACTGAGCTAACCAGCCAGCCCCTTCTCTAAATTTCTTTGCCTCAAAAGCCTTAATTTTGCTTCACAAGACTTTTATACCCAACTTTCAGTAACAGAACTGGGCAAAAGATTAATAAGGAAATAGAAAACTTGGCTGGTATGGGGATCCAAACTCTTTTAACCAACTGAGCTAACCAGCCAGCCCCTTCTCTAAAATTCTTTGCCTCAAAAGCCTTAATTTTGCTTCACAAGACTTTTATACCCAACTTTCAGTAACAGAACTAGGCAAAAGATTAATAAGGAAATAGAAAACTTGAAAACACTATAAACAAAATCATAAACCAACTAGACTGAACAGACATCTACAGAACAAAACTCAACCCAACAACAGAAGAATATATATTCTTCTCAAATACACGTGGAATGTTCTCCAGGACAGACCATATATTGGTCCATTAAATAAGCCTCAATAAATTTAAAGGATTAAAATCAAATAGTGCATGATCTCTTATACAATGGAATGAAATTAGAAATCAGTAACAGAAGGGAATATGGAAATTCACATATATGTGGAAATTAAATAAAATACTCCCGAATAACCAATAGGTTAAAAAAGAAACAAGTTGAAACGAGAAGGTTACTTTGAGATGAATGAAAATAGAAATGCCATTGTAGGGACCAAAAGAAAACTTCCTCTTTGCTCCTGAAGATTCATTAAAAAAAAAAAAAAAATCAACTGTCGATATTTAATTAATATGAAGAAAAGACATTAAAAATTTTATTATTTTAATGTTCTGGGAAGGGGGCAATGCACAAGGGAATTACAGGAGAGTAATTTCCCATTAATCCAATGGGACACAGAAGTTTATATATCACTGTTGAGGCAGGAAGCTAGATAGAAATAAGAGTGGGAGAAGGAAAAACTGGTTATTTGCAAATGGGACAAACCAGTTCCCTGAGCACGCATGCACATGTGCAGAAGCGGAGACAAAGACAATTCCAGACGGGACTCCCTCCGCCCACTACCGCACACACTTCGGGCGCCATTCAGTTAGACCAATGAGTTCCCACCAGCTAGAGTGCCAATCTCTTAAACCAATATGACAGAGACTACGTTCAGGACTCAACCAATGACCAAATGGCACGAATCTAGCTAAGAGGACTTAAAACCCCAGGAATGTAACTGTTGGCACTCTTGAGCACTCTTCTCTTTCGCTCAAGCCCACTGTATTTTCTCCGGAATGTACTTTTCCTTTGCTAAATAAAACTGCTTTTACTTTTCGTTTCTGGCGTGTCTCCTCCAATTATCTGAGACAGTAAGAACCCGGATCTAGCCAGCGGGACCTGGGGTGGGTTCAGGGCCCAAGAACTATGGCCTAGGACCCAGTTTCTCTGGGGCTCTGGGGGAGGTGGTGTCACAGGTGAAAGAAGAAAGGCAGAAGTTAAAGTTAAGCACAGACTGTCTAGTTATGCAAATGAAAACATCACAGCTGCCCTCAGAAAGGAAAGTAGCTAAGGAGGGGCCTCAGAGGATGCTGGCTGTTTGAATTTACAAATGTAAATTCCTTTTCAAAAAAACCAAACAAAACCTGGCCTTCTACCTAATCTTGTTTTTCCAGACTCCCTGAATTAGCCGTCTTGAAATATGTCAAAGAAGTATATTTGGGGATAAAATATTTTGCTTTCCCACACTACATACCAAAACTTACAGGATGCAGTTCAAGTAGTGTTCAAAAAAATGAATAGCTGTAAATGCCTATACTGAAACAGTTTTCAAAACCACTCTTCTCCCCCACCAATACTCAATCAACATCTGCCTTTCTCTGTCACATTACCCCATTTCTGTGCCTGAAACTCTTGTTTATCTGCATGTTTATGTTGTGTCTCCTGCATCGAAACATAAGCTTTAGGACAATATCTGACCATAGTAGGGGCTTAGTAATTTTCTGACTAATAGGAAGTCAACATCTTTCCTTAAAACTATTTATTACTTACATTCATATAAGCATTAACTGTCTCTCCAAATTTCTATTTATTTAGCATATCATTGTAATTGACTCTCCTTCCTATCAATTTATAAAACTTGGGATTAATTACAGTATCATTCTCTTGAAAAGTTTTCTAGTTTGTACTAAATAAAACATCTCATCAAAAATTTCTTTTGAAACTTACATATGTATTTCTTTAAACTGCTATTGATTATCAAAAAAGAAAAAAAAATCAATCTTCTTGAAACAAATGAAATAAAACAAAATACAACTAAAATGAAATTAATATAAAAGAAAAGAAAACAGGGTTCCACAATGGCTAAGCCAATGTTCATACATCTTTGTATTGCAGAATAGGAAATCATTTCTATCTGCTAATTTCATTTTGCAGATTCTAGGGTACTGAAAGGTGAGGGGCAAAAGAATAACTATAAAAGCTTGAGAGAAAACTACAGTTCCTTAAAAAAAACCTAACAACCAAGGCCTAAACTATCAGAATTAATTGCATCTACATGATTACAATTTTTTCAAAAAATAAACATTTAAAATTATAATGGTATCATTATAAAAACCACTTGTCTTGCAAGGTGCAACTTACACAGTCTTTTTGTCCTGTCGAAGAAGTTTAGAAGAAAATTCACTAAGTACTTCAAGAAAAGCCAGATTAGGAGGTGGATATTCTTGTCCTTTCTGATTTTGGTATTTAAAGGCAAATTCTATGCCATCCCTGAAGTAAAAGAAAATAACACCTTATTTTTCCAGATAGATAGTATAGTTCTCTCAATGGGCTAGAATTACAAAGACATTTGGGAAGGTAGTGAAATCATCTCTGAAGGTAGTAAAATCTGCTAAACTGAAATGAAAAATAACATGAATTTACATGACATATTTACATATATATATATATATATATTTTTTTTTTTTTTTTTTTTTTTTTTTTTTTTT